GAGAGAGAGAGAGAAAGAGCAGGCTCACGCAGGGAGAGAGAGAGAGAGAGCAGGCAGACGCTGAGAGAGAAGAATTTACTCTCTCCTATTGCTGAAGAGCGCTGCGTGCCGACGGGGCTAGACAAACCTTGAACTCGATTGCCCCCCTTTCACCCTACTGGTCGCCGAGGACCTCGGAGCGGGCGCGGCGAAGTGACAGGCGCCGTAGCCCTTGGCTTCAGCGAACGGTAGGTAGCCCCTCCCCGGGTTCTCTCCCAACACCGTGCCAGTACACAAGACCGTTGTCCCCGAGAGAGTAGTTCGGGACGGTCTTGCCACTCCGAAGGGTCGCGTGGATGTCGCGATAGTCGGGGTTGTGGCGGTACTGAGTGCGAAACTCGTCGATCACCGAGTAATGGACGGTGGTGAAAGAGATGGAAGAGAGCTGGATCTGCTCCTGGTCGTGGTCAGGGCGCCGGGATAAGGCATCTGCAACCCGATTAGTCTCACCCTTGATGTGCTCAGTGGTGAAACTAAACTCGGATAGGTCGCGCCACCAGCGAGCCTGTTGAGGAGTGAGTTTTGGCTTGGTCAGAAAAGCCTGGACAACAGAGTTGTCCGTACGCACCGTGAATGGTGCCCCGTGCAGGTAGTGACGCCAGTGTCGAGCGGCATAAACTACTGCGAGAACCTCACGTTCATCAGCGGTGTAGTTTATCTCGGCGGGCAGGAGCTGACGGGAGTAGAAGACTATCGGATAATCACCTGAGCGAGACTCGACAGTGCCGTCCTCGGCGATGGTAGGAGAATAGTCAATAGAAGGCTCGTCAGTAGGTGGACGAGTAGGCGTCAATCGGGAAGCAGTGGTAGGGGTAGGTAGTGGGAAGCGAGGGATACGAGGATAAGAGGAATCAGGAGAGGAGGGGAAAACCTTAGAGAGCACTGCTCCAACAAAGTCTGACGCATCGGTGGTAAGGATAAAAGGGCGATCAAAATCGGGTAGGTGAAGAACCGGTGCGCATGTCACCCCCTTCTTGAGGGCGCGGAAGGTGTCCTTGTGGAGGGGTGTCCAAGCCCAGGGTGGGTTCTTCCGGAGGAGGGTGGAGGTAAGGACGTAGGAATACCTAGCGTATCCCCGGATGAAATTACTATAGTAGCTGGTAAGGCCTAGGAAGCTGCGAAGCTGCTTGGCGGATGTGAGGGCGGGTCCCTCCGCAATAGCAGTGATCTTCGCGTCGTCCATGTGGAGACCCTGGTCAGACACGTAGTGTCCTAAGAAATTCACTTTGTGCTGGGCAAAGCGGCACTTGCTCAGCTTGGCGTAGAAGCCATGTCTGCGCAAGCGGTCAAGGACGTCGCGGAGGTGTCTGAGGTGCTCCTCAAGGGTACGACTGTAGACCAGGATGTCGTCGAGGTAGACGAGAACGTACTGCTCCAGGATGTCCCTGAAGATGTCGTTCATCGCCCTCTGGAAGGTGGCGGATGCGTTGGTGAGGCCGAATCGCATCACTGTAAACTCGTAGTGGCCGAAGCGCGATCGGAACGCTGTCTTCGGCTGGTCGGCTGCAGCGACGCGGATCTGATGGTAACTGTTACGAAGATCAATCTTTGTAAAGAAGCGGTTGCCTGCTAGGCAGTCGAACAACTCATCGAAACGAGGCATGAGGTAACTGTTCTTAATCGTGTAGCGGTTGAGACCGCGGTAGTCGATGCAGAGACGAAGAGTTCCATCCGCTTTGCGAGCAAAGAGGACGGGTGCACCCCACGGGGAGTTGTTGGGTTTAATGAAAACCAGTCTCAGGAGCTCCTCAAGCTGACACTTGAGTTCGGTGGCCTCGGGGATCGAGAGTCTGTAGGGTGCCTGATGGCGACCACGATAGTCAGGCGCAAGCTGGATGGAGTGTTCGACGTCACACATCGGTGGGATGCTGGCATACGAGAACGACGATGGGAAGACGTCGTGGTACTCTCGGATGAGGTCACGAACTGGGGGCTCCAGGTCAGCCGTATATCGTGCGAGTTCCTCAGCGTCAGCGTCAGCGCGCGACAGCGGAGTGGACTAGACGAACGGCAGAGGGACGGAAATAGAGATGGGAGTCATGGAGATAGAAGGAGGATCTGGCTCCAGAGGGACGAGCTCGACGTCGGGACAGGGTGGATCATAGTGTAAGAGATCCGTCACGTCCACCATAAAGAAGGTGACGTCCTCCTTTCGGATGAAGTGGGCAAACTGCCGAGGCGAAGTGACAGTGATGGAAGAAGATGGTGTGGGCACGGAAGGCTCCGGGGGAGACGGATCGGGGCGTGGTGTCGTCGTGGTACCTATGAAAGGTACGCGATATGTCTGTCCACACTTCGTTTTGAGAATGAGAGTGTTGGTCGCCCAATCGGCCTCGGTGCTGCGGAACCGACGAGACCACGAAGTGCCGAGAATGAAGTCGTAACCCGTCTCCATCACATCGAAATGTGCAGAGGAGCGGTGGCGACGAGACGCCGGGGAACGATCAGTCGGCTCGAGAGTGAGGAAGAAAGCAAGGTCGGTGACCGTCTGATTGAAGAAGCGCTGAGTCTTGTCATCCCCTAGGGTAACGGAGATGGGAATCGAAGACCCTGTCGTGGATAAGCGAGTTTCTTTCACCACGAGTGGGTGAATGAACTCGTCCTGAGAACTGGAATCCCACAACGCGGAGTACACCCTCGTGGAGGTCCCGAGTCGTACTGGGATGATCGGGAGGGTGCGATCAGGGTCAGAGAGGATGGCGAGACGGCGACGCAGTGCAGCGACATDGAGGGTGAGTCGCTCCTGACGAGCCTGGAGCATGCTCAAGTCCAGAAGAGAGGACACAACGTCCTCGCGAGTAGCGAGCTACTCGCTGCAACGGGCTGAGCAAATGGCTCGACGCGTCTGTAGTCGCAGCGAGGAAGGAGGGGAGACGGTGGTCTGCGGAGGCGCCGACGGTACTGCGACAGAGGGCTGAGTACACTCTGTCAAGTCCTGCGATACCTCAACTCCAGTAGCGAGAGGGGCGAACCGCGACGGAGATGTCGGGAAGCCCAAAACTGAGGAGGGCGCAGATGTACACTGCACCGTGGCTAGGAGGCGCCTCGGGGATGCGAGGCGTCGGGGGGGGACTGAGCACGACGCTGGCGGGAAAGGTCAGCGTAGTGGCGGTCAAGGGCGGTGGTGTAAGGGCACCGCGAGGAGGTATGGCCGTCCTGAGAGCATCGCAAACACCCACGTTGGCCCATAATAGTCGCGCGCTCCTTAGCGGAAAGGACACCGCGAGGAGGAACAAAGCCCTGAGGGAGGTCCTGTTGAGGGACCTCGGGGGGCGACGCGCCAGCGTGACTAGGGCGGTTGCGTGTCCGGAAAAGGGTGGAGAGGATAAGCTGGAGGCGCTCACCCATAGGGAGAGTAGGGTCCTCCAGGTGGTGCTGGACGACATCGCCGAGGTCGAGGTCATCGCTATGATCACCCTGTGGCAACGGCGGGGCACCAGCGTCCTGCTCACCATACTCGAGCGCGCTGAAGCGGCGCGAGAAGTGGCGGCCCTGCTGCATGGGACGGCGGGGGCGACCGCGGAAGGGGGAATGGCGCTGGGAAGTGCCGTGATAGGAGGATGAGGCGTAACCAGTACGTTGTGGCTGGGAGGTGGAGGCGGGTTGAAGACGGGCCCGCATCCGCTGATGGTCCCTTGCGGCCTCATAAGCCTGCGGGGCCGATGTGAACTCGTACCGCCATAGCTCGGAGCGGTACTCGAGCAGAAGGCTGGCCAAGAACCGATCGATAAGGGCCGCCTCGGGGAGGAACGCTATGTCACAAATGAGGCGGGCGTCCTGAAAGACCTGGATGTGGCGATCCAGGCCGGCAGCACCACTAGAGTCGGACCAGCGTGTAGTGACGACACGCTCGAAGGCGTCAGTCACATCGTGTCGGGCTCCGAAGCGATCCTCGAGGAACGCCTGGAAATCTATGAAGGTCGGAGTCCGACCCGCGGGAAGGGAGTGCGCGTAGAAATTCTCCCATGCCTTGGAAGGACCGCCACGCAGGCGCGTGGAAAGGTGACCCACCCACGTGTCGGGTGTGGCGCCTATGAGCTGGAGCGTGCGGGTGGCAGACTGCAGCCACCTAGACACGCGTATGCCTGTACCGTCATACAAAGCAATGTCCGGCAAGTGGATGAGTGGTGCGCCACCGTTTTTGCGGCGAGGGGATCGAGGAGCAGGGGACTGCGCTACGGCTGAATAAGTCGGTGCAGGTCCTGGAGGAGGGGGCGCAGTTGACTGCACGCCCGGGCCGCATGGTGGAGCGGCGGGGGAAACAGCGGCAGGCTGCACAGGAGCTGCGGTAGAAGAGGTCGCAGCAACCAAGGGGATGGGGAGGAGGTAGGATGGGGATGGGTAGGGTGCAGGACGAGGGAAGCGAGCCTGCATGGAAGGGAGAATAGAGGAAGAAGAGGGTGCGCCGGAAGGCGCGGCCACCTATGAGGGTGGGGGTGACTGAAGGCATGAGAGAGCGAGGTCGGTCCGCAGCCGGGCGATCTCGTCCTCGAGACCTCGAACGTAGGTCGAGCGAGGTGTGGCAGGGGGAGACGCACGAGCGGCGCGAGACATCCCACAAGGGGGAGAGCCGGATGGCGCTGCGGTCGTGCGAAGAGGGGGAAGAAGTGGGGCACCCGGAAAAGCTGAGACCATGGTAGCGGGTTGTAGTCCCGTGGCCGTCGTGACCGGAATCTGGGCGGGTGCGCTCGTGGACCGAGGGAGGGCCTGGCTCGTGGCGGTTGTCGTGCTAGGGGCGTGGACAGTCACCAAGATGGTCGGGTCGGGGGTGGCGGAGGAGGAAGCTCTACTGTGGCCACCCTGTCGGAGGACGGGGGACCCGGACTCGGAGCCCGGTGATGGAGGACATGCAGCATCCTGGAGTTGCTGCACGCCGGCAGCAAGGGTCGCCACCTGCGCCCGTAAGGACGCGAGGGTCGCGAGTTGCGCCTGGATGGGCGCAAGGGTTGCGAGTTGCGCTTGGATGGGCGCAAGGAGGGAGGTGAGGAGGGTGTGCAGATCCCCTGGGGCTGATGGCCCTGGTCCGCCGACACGGGTGTGAAGCCCGATGCCGTGGTCATCGCCGTGTCGGCGGCGTGTGACACACCGTCGGCCATGGGAAGATGACGGACCGGACTGAGGGGGCGAGAAGAGGTCCGCGTGAGCGGAAGGCGTAGGAGGAAATCCGCGGTAGAAAGCGGGGAACGACGTTAGCAAGGCTAGCATGGGCGCCGTCGAAGGGGGAGGGGTGTTCGGGTCCAGGGTGCCCGAAGAGGACGGGGAAGTAGGGGGGGTTTGAAGAACCCTAAACCCTACAAAAACCTAAGAAAACCCTAACCGAGGCTTAAGTGGTTAGGGTAGGGTATCAGTGACCTAATCAAGAAAGTAAAGAGCAAGCATAGGGGGGGGAAGGCGGGAGAAAAATAAACAAACAGCGAGATTTCAAAAGAAAATAAAAATAAATAAAAAAATAAATAAATAATAAAAATAATTTAAAAAATAAGTAAAAAGATGTGAAGAGAAAACAATATTTATTTTTTGAAATTTTTCGGCAGCATTTCCCTACCCCCCACAGGGTCAAGAATGTGCCAAGGGGAAGGGAGAGACCAAGGTGAGCACACTAGGTGTCAAGATGCCGCAAATAAAAAAGAAATTTCATAAAATAAATAAAGAAATAATAAATAAAGAGATAAATAAATAAAGAAGTAAAAAGTGGATGAGGAGGTGGGGAGGAATGAAGTATCTAATTTGTCAAAAATTTTGGCAGCATTTGGTTACCCCCATGGGGTCGAAGTGTGCCGAGAAGACTAAGTGAAAGAAAAAACAGAAAATTTCGGCAGCACTTCGTTACTCCCACAGGGTCAAAACGTGTGCCGAAAGTAGTAAAGACTAACACCTAATCAGATTTARGGTTGYCGTAAAGAAAATCGAATTTTCAGACTAAATAGAAAAATAAATAAAATAAATCAGAAAATGAGAAAAGGTGGGAAATAAGATATTTCAAATTTTTGGAAAAGAGAAAAGATAAATCAAGAGAGAGATAGAAGAAAAAAAAAACAGAAAAAATTCAAAGTAGGGGGGGAATGGGAATGAAAAAGTAAAGGAGAAGAGAAAGAAATAGGCGGGGGAGAAGAAAAAAAAATGAAGTGGGAGTTGGGGGTTGATGTGGTGGTAATTGAGGGAGAGGAGGGTGGGAGAATGGGAGAGAAAGAAAAAGAGAAAAAAAAAAAAGATGAGAAAAAAAAAGAAAAAAAAATGAAGTGGGAGTTGGGGGTTGATGTGGTGGTAATTGAGGGAGAGGAGGGTGGGAGAATGGGAGAGAAAGAAGATGGGGAAAGATGGAGAGTGATCAAGAAAGTAAGAGGAAAGAAGGAGGGGAGAAAAGAAAAGAAATGAAAAAAAGTGGGTAAGATAGTGGTTAGTGGGAGAAAAGGTGGGGTGGAGAAGGCAAAAAGAGGAGGGGAGAGAGGCAGTGGAAGGTGGGGGAAAGAAAAGGAGAGACAGAGATGATACCTGGCCCTTGGTGTCTCCAAGGGCACAAGGTATACCAAGACCAGGAGGGTCTTGGCCTTCGCTGCAGCCAGCCAACTGAAGGATGGAGGGGGGGCTGAGATCTTGATCAGCCCCTAGTTGCAACACTGCAGATCCAGGGTGTGCTGTGTGAGCATACCCTGGTGGATGATGATGATGATCTAGGGTTGGCTGAGATCTTGATCAGCCACCCTACTGCCACAGTCACATAGCCCCCTAGCCAGGGGGAAATCTTGAGTTGCTGCAAATTTGCAGACCTAGGGTATGTTGTGTGAGCATACCCTCACCGTTGTAGAGCAGCCCCTAAAACACAGGGGGTCTTCAAGTCCATAGCAAAGTGCCACGTGCACAGGCAGCAGCAGCCACAGGGGGGGGGGGGGGGAGGGTAAATAGCAGCCTCTCCCGTTGTTGCCTTGTTGGCC